GAGCAAGTAAGGGGCTGGGCCTGGACCTGGAAGATAAAACTGCACTGCTAAAGTTTCCACTGAAGATGTAGGTGAGGAGGAGAAGAGGAGGAACGAGAAAGAATCTATAACTGACAAATTCTGTAATGATGAGCAGTCATGGCCTAGTTTGTCCATGCCTTAGCCGTCTTCTCATTACTGTGTTCCCAAATGTTCACAACCACCATGTCTTTATTTACTTTGGGAGCCACTGGTGTAAAAGAATTTAGAGACAGCTTTCTCCTTTTTAAACCAGACTTGCAGTGGTTTGCTTTTTGTCCTTTTCTGTGTGAATATGTTACCCTTTGCAACTAATCCATAGTTGTGATTTTATGTAGTATTAGTTCAAAATAGTTTCCTGCAAATATAGCAAGTTAAGACAGCAAGTTGAACTTTAAGACAGTTTTGGGGTTTTTATTATTTGCACTGTAGAACTTCCTCAAACGAAGTGTTCTGATATGCTTGCCTTGGCAAACTTGTGTTAGTTAGGTAGCATACAATGAGACGTTATCCTTGCTAACTGGATTTTTCAGTTGGTTTTGTGATTATGTGAAACGTTAGCAATAGGAAAGGCACCTGCCTTGCAACAAATGAGAACAACTGATACATTTTTTATTTTACTTTAATCCCAGGTACATGTGGAAAATGTGTGAGAAGTAGCTGGGCAATATTCTGGCAAGAAGCATTTTTGTCTCTAATGGAAATGATAGTTTTGCTGTCTGCCAACCTGGCTTCTGGAAGGCAAATTTCACACTGCGTATTACCATGAGTGATAATATTTTCTAAAATTGAAGCTTTACATCCACACTTCACAATAGAAGGGGGAAAATTAAAAATTTATTTTTAATTCTAACAGTAGATTTTAAGGATTTCTGTGGTTGTACCATTCCCTTCTCTTGAGTTTTTGGATTCTCTTGCCTTTAAATAGCTTGATGTTCAAATCTAATGCTACAAAGTTAATGGGATAGATAGGGCTTTTGATCTCGTGAAATTTTATCCATTTAGTTTTCCATGGTTGCAGTATTTTGAAATGAGTACCAAGATATTGTTTGGATATTCTAGTTTAAATTGGAAGTGCAAAAACTGGTATCAGTGCACGTAATGTGTGTGTTTTGCTGAGCTGATGGGATTTCTATTTCTCAAAAAATGTTACTTCTTAATCTAAAGAATTAGATAGTTGCATTCATAGATCAAAGTTATGGATGTCCCTTTAGATATTTTATTGGTCTTGGATCTTAGCATTGTAGAATTAGTGCTATGATGTGTGTGTTTACCACTCTCACTTTATAGCTGCAGAGAAAAGTGTTAATGTAATTTAGAAACTATTTGGGTTTTTTGCATGCTGTGCATTGGGAGCTTCTTGTCAAGGGAATTACTGACTTTGTGATATGTTTTAGTGCCACTCCTGGCTTGCAGTTTTCAAGGCGAATTAACTTTTTTTCAATATTAGAAAATATCAAAGTTGTTACTATCAACATTAACCTACATCTTTTCGTGGTGGTGGCCATGCATATTCAGGTGGCAGCCACTTTCTCTTAAGCTCTAAAGCTTTGAGGCTAAGGCTATCTATAGCAGAGAAATGGAGACAAGGTTTTAATTCTTCTACTTCTTGGAACACAAGGCTAATTCTCTTAATTAATTTGGTTCATCTTATTGCCTGCAGGCAAGGGGGCACAGTAGATGCTGCTTAGACTGTTACGTATTCTCCAAACGAGTTTGTCTTCTGTAATATTTTCTGTAGGTCAGATTTTGATCACAGGAAATTGCTGATCTCTGTTCTGTATTGTTTGAAACAAGGCAGAGGGGGAATGTTCCTTTTCTCATAGTCTTCATTTTTGCAATCTGATGTTTATTTGCTTTTGTTTTAAGTTTTCAGGTTGCTAGTTCTAAGGTTGTTACAGATAACATACCACAACTAGTATGCTGTTGGGCTTGCACTTCTTGCATGCTAGCAGCTGGCCATGTTTCCTTATAGGAACTGACAAAAGGCTTAATGATGACTTCGTGAGTTGCTTTGTTTTTAGTCCTAGACAGTAAGCCATAGATACTGGGAGAAGCTAAGATCCACTGTGCCAGGACTGAAAAGCAAAATTGTTAAAAACTTTGAATGACTATTTCTCCTTCCACCACCCAAAGCAAGTTACAGCTGAAGGAATTAGGGCTAAAATGAGAATAACAATTAGATTTTGATGATCTGGCTTAAGTGATTTAGTGGGTTTATGTGAAACTTTTGAATGGTGATTTATGAAGATCTGAATCACTATTAACTGCTAGTAAACTTAGTCAGGCTGGACAGGCAGGTTGTAATGCTCTAGTGCCACCAGTAGGTTTTTCAAAGGATATTGGTCAGAGTCCTTTGGCACATTGTAAAACGTTGATCCTGAGTTAGAAAGGACTCTTCTGCCAATGCTTTGAGGATAATTAAACTTTTTTAGACGTTTCTTCTGCAATGGTGACTAGTAAATTCTTTAGTTTCCTGGTTTTCAACCTACTGTTTTAATCATATGGCCAGCCATATGTGAACTATGATATAGTTTGTAACTAGTAGTAGAACCATCTTGAAATGTGTTTTCTAAACTTCAAAATTAAACTCCTCTAAGCTTGCAAAATAGCTTGTCAACAGTTCAGATGCTATTCAAAGTGTAAACCAGGCAGTTGCAGAATGTGTTTCACAGGGTGTTGGAATGACACTAAATAATTGAATCATTTCCTTGAAGCTCCATCAACTTAGGCTAAGGGAGCTTGTTTTGGTTTTATGTGCTTTGAATAAGATACAACTGGCATCTGTAAATAAGTTTCTAGAGATAGTTTGGCCAAAGTCTTTCTGTCAATGTAACCAACCAAAATAGTAACCAGTGCAGTGAGAATCACGACTGTTAGGCAGTATATTTATTGTGCTGAGGCAATATATTTATTGTGCTGTAGTTATAACATTTTGTTTTGTTTCTTAATGCAGCAGAAATATTACGTTAATTAGGCATGTTATCTACCTCATTAGCAATCTTCATTGCCTTCTGAAAGTTTGGACTACTTACACAGAGGATATTAGTTTGCTGTTTAGTGGTTTAGACATGAGATTTCACTAACTTCACTACAGAAATGATAAAATAATAATGCTGTAGCCTGGAAAACCACTAGGGCTGGGGCTCCTACAGGCTGCTGAACTCCTAGTCATAGGGCTTGAGCATACTCCTCTGCTTGACAGGAAACAAGGAAAGTGGAAAAGAGCGTTCATGGTGTTGGCGCTGCCAGAAAAGGGGAGCTGCTTTTCCCATTTCCTCTGGGAAGGAGGAGGAGAGAAGTGATGGGTTAAAGAAAGTGTCCTGTAGTGATCCGTCACTTGGATCACACTGAATAGACTGCAAACACCATGTGAATTTATGGAGTTTAGTTTAGGACATCAGATACCTTTCAGTTTATTTACATAATAGTTTCCAGTACATTGTTGAAACTAGTACTTTTAAAGATGTTGAAACTTGTATTTGAATTTTTGTCAAAACCGTTATTTTTCTGTAGAATGACTTCCTTGTCTGCAGCTGTGTTGTCTGTAGAAATTCTTGTGTGAGGAACTCCAATGTATTGGCAAAAATACAGTTTGAAACTAGTTGATTTGCCATTCAGAGGACCCTTTTTTGTTGAGCTAAGACTAACAGCTTCACAACTATCAAGTGATTCCAGGGCTCTTGAAGTGTTAGAGCAATTGACTGTTAGAGCAATGATTACAATTGCAGTATTCTTCATGCAGGCAAAGGCATATGTCCTATATTTTGAGAGTATATGAGTCATTGTTTCCAAAATTTTGGTGAGAAGGGCAGCTGACAACTATTCTTAACCTGGGTTTTGGAGAGAGGATACAACAAATGCAATGTGGTCAGATTGATGTGCCCTATATTTGGAGAAGTTTTAATTTCCATTTAGCTATATCAATGTGTGAAGATGACAGAATTATGTAGCTGTCTTTATCTGGATGCTTTATCTGGATGCTAGCTACCTAAATTGTGAATTTTAATTATTCATAATAAAAACAGTATCCAGTGTCTGAGGAAAGAGGACACAGGGACTGAGGAACAGGGACGGGACTTGATTAATGCGAAATTTAATGAAACTCCTGTTCCTGTGCAACAAGAAGAGACCTATGTTGACGATTCAGCTATTTCAGCTTTGCCCTTTGGATGATGTGTCCGTATACCTATGACATACATATGGTCTGATTCTGTAGCAGCAGCTTTTACTTTCTGTGAATTAAAGCAATTTGCCTTCTACACAGATAGCATATTAAGTGGATTTACTTTTACAATCCATCCAGCCTTAGACACATAATAATGTCAAGTAACATTAAACATTTCTGGGGATAATATCCCTTGCTGCAGCCTTTCCTTATTTATCTGCTGACAGTCTTCCTCCGCCCCCATCAAACTTCTCTAACCTGTTACTGACATCACGTGTACAGCGCCGAGCAGAAATAAACTACCTTAGTGTCTCAAGGAACACGTGTAGCATTGGCACGTGTTACCTGCTATATTTAGTTTTCAGAAATTTGAGTATTGTTTTGCTTGATGAAATGGTGTTAATCAGCCTTAATGGTAGTTAAGCAATTTTGTCTTAATTTTCATGCTGATTTGTACAATTGAATTCTTATTATTGATTGTCAGCTAGCATCAAGTACATCAGGCATCTACATTAGGCTTGAAAACACTAGTTTAGGTCTCCTGGGAGGAGCAAGACTTGAATGATGGCTTCCATTGTAGGAATAAAATGGTTATAGTTGTTGACGGGATGTGTAGATTTTGTTTGTTTGTGTTTTAATGTAGGAAATATAAAAAGTTTGGTGAAAGTTGTGGTAGCTAAAATGCTAGTTTTTGATCATCTCAAGAAGTAAAGATTTTGCTGAAGTGTTGCATTACTTTCCAGCACAGATATTAAAGGTCTTTTATAAAAGCTGTTTTCTAATCGGATCTTGTTTTTTGCCTTTCCCTTTATAGCTAAACCAGGTGGACGGGTGAAATGTCAGTATATTTCTGCTGTGGATAAAGTGATCTTTGTGGATGATTATGCAGTAGGATGTAGGAAAGATCTCAATGGCATCTTACTGTTAGACACAGCTCTGCAAACGCCTGTTTCAAAACAAGATGACGTGGTTCAGCTTGAATTGCCGGTTACAGAGGTAAGATGTGGAGAGGGAGGAAAAAAAGAGTATGTATTGTCAGAAATACTGAAACCAGACGTTTGACCCTGAGTTTCTAGTGTGACATTAACAGCATGTAATGGAAAGTTTCTTAATTATTAGCTGTCATAGGGCAATAGCTTTTTGCAGTTATCTGTATCTCAAATAAGAGCTCGCCTCATCAGGAGCACATTATTTCAGATGAAAGAGCTTTTTAGTGACCAGAAATAAGGACTTGTTTCCAGAGCTTTGTCAGCGCTTATGAACAGAATCTATATGCACTTCTAGAAAGTCAGTCTGAGCTGCTAGGCATCCTTGAATTTTTTTGTTTTACGCTTTCAGGGAAAAAAGACAATTAAAATCGGCTAATATGGTATTGCTACATGTGAAAAATTAATGCTGGAATCTAACTTTTCTAGCTAGGTCTGTTGACATAATGAAACACTTTTTTTTTCTCTGCAAACCTGGCTACCCTTTTGTGTTTGGACTGTTGCAGCTGTAATGTGATTCCTCCTGTTTTGAGACCATGTAACCAAGCATGTAGTATCACTTTAAGGGAATCTAATGTATACATTTCTGCTTAGAGTGTAATGCTTAGGATTTTGTTGCATTTGTTTACTTTCAGGTAGCATAACATTTATTAGATGAGGTAGCATGTACATTCTTATTTTCAAATGTTGCCTAGTACGAGATAGCTAACAATTGCTTTTATTCTAAGGCAGTTGGTGTTGAGGAAAGTAGTTTTCACCTTTGGTAGTGGTCATAGAGTAGTAGACCTGGAAGTAAATCTGTACAACAATTTTAATTACAAGCAAGATTAATACTTTGTTTGGGAAAAACATAGAGCATCCACCAATGTTAATATTTAGAATAGTGCTTACAGTTGAAAAAACAAAATTGGACTACTAGATCCAGATTCGGAATGTTTAAAGCACTCTGAGAAAAGAGTGCTTCCCACTCATCTCTGTGGGAAATAAATTTAAATTGAATGATGTACCACCAACAAAAACTTATCCTGAGCATTGATTTAAAATATTTATGTGCTTTTGGAGTACTGAATAATAGGTGCTTATTATGAATGAAGAATGTGTGTTATATGTGAGATTTTAAACTACTTGTCTTGAGTAGGAGTAACAACAATAAAATGTTGCTTCATAGAAGTCTCCAAAGAGAGCTTTCCAGGTTCCTCAGGCTTGCTGCCACTGGCATCTTTTTTACACCCTTTGTGGGTAACTACAAAATCTTGGTACGTGTGGCTGAGCGTGAAGAGACTGACAGAGGTCAGCATTTCTTTTCATGAGTTTTGCTGTCGCTGTTTTGCAGTCTCACATGGTTCGATACAACCTCTAAGTTTGTGTCAGTTTTAGCTGAAGATTCTTTGGTTTTAAAGAGTTTACAGACCCTTATTGCAGGGTTAAAATAGAGCACTTCCCTGTACAGGTCCTTCCTGTAGAAAAAAAAAATCAGAAAATATAGTTCAGTAGGAACAGATTTGGGGAGTGCATGGCCAAACAAGTGAGATGGGAGGAAAAGCATGAGCAGTCTTCAGTTCATAGTTTTAATGTTAAAGAGGAGGTACCCAGACCTCAGAAAATTTTAGTAAATATTAAGGCAATATCATACAAATGCATCAGTCCACCTCTTTCATCATAGGAAGGTTAAGAACCTTTATCCAAGCAAGAGCCTTTATTTTTTGTTAATGGCTAGAACTTTTCTGCAAATTTTTGCACTTAATTTAAATAGTCTTTTTATATGATTGATCTGCTGGTAATGCAGTGCATCTTTATGCATTTTGAATCAGCAGCATTGACAAGTTATGATGTAGCGTCTCTGCTGTTTTTAGTTCCCCATAGAACACTGTAAACTTGTGAACTTCCATAATCTATCTGTTGCTCTTCCGTCATCTGCAAAAGACTTGGGAAGTATGAGATGCCACAAGAATTGTAATTGTCTTTTTATTGGAATCTGAGGAACAGGTACAGCCTTAGCTAGGGGACTGATTTGCTTTATTTTTATCTGTCTTGCCCTGAACTCCCCCAGGACATAACCAAGTGGGCATTTGGCCCATTCTGTTTGGAGCAGTTTACAGCTGTTTAAAGGACTGATTGGCCATTGCCCTTGGGAAGTAGGTCCCTGTGTTTTTAGCTTGAAAGATTTCATATAATATTTTTCAGATAGCCCACCTAACAACAGATACAGAATACTCTGTGCTTTGCACATAAAGAGTACCTTTAAATCTTACCTGTTGACATGAAGTTAGCAGACAGAATCATAGAATTGTTTTGGTTGGAAAAGATCTTTAAGGTCATCAAGTCCAACCGTAAACCTAACACTGCCAAGTCCACCACTAAACCGTGTCCTAAGCACCACATCTACACGTCTTTTAAATACCTCCAGGGATGGTGACTCAACCGCTTCCCTGGGCAGCCTGTTCCAATGATTGACAACCCTTTTGGTGAAGACATTTTTCCTAATATCCAGTCTAAACCTCCCCTGGCACAACTTGAGGCCATTTCCTTTTGTCTTAGAGAGACAAGCTAGAGACAGATGGGGACTTGGAAGGGAAAAAAGTCTATAAATGGATGTTTATAGTGTTCTTTTCTGGATGTGTTATTTCTGAGTTTTAAGAATTTCTAGATTCTAAACTAGCCTGTTTTTTTCTGCATCGTTTTTCAGCTTCATTATACTAGCATTGTAAGTAATTTTTGTCTATTTTCATTGCAGTGTTGTTTTTCTCATTATCATCTACTTTTTTTAAGATACAAAGCTACTCAGAAAAGTGTCAAGACTTTTTTCTTGCTCTCGCTTTTTGTCATACCACTGAATGAATCCTTTTGAACGGAAAGCATTGGGCAATAGATGACTTCTTTTTGCTTGGCTTTAATATATGTTCTGTTTTAATTGTTTATGTGACTGACTTGTTTAATGTTTGGTTATATTGCCCTTGAGGGAACTTGTAGTAATTACTGTCACTATTGCTGAAGTTTATCCACTGATTGACCTACAAAGTAAAATTTGGAACTGCTTACTCAACTCCGAGTCTTTTATGGGAATTATGCTGATATAATATATGATAAAGTACGATATGAAATACTGCATTTCCCAGAGTAATAAAACAGGTGTAATTCTTGTCTGTAGTTATGCAATGTGGATGCTAACTTTTCTTGCACATCTGCATTTTAGGCTCAGCAGCTGTTATCTGCTTGCATAGAAAAAGTAGATGTTTCTAGCACAGAGGGATATGACTTATTCATCACACAACTGAAGGATGGTTTAAAAAATACCTCACATGAAACAGCAGCAAATCATAAAGTTGCAAAGGTAAGAATTTGTCTCTGTGCTGTCTGATATGAATTCCAAAGTCTAATTTGCTTGGCTACTATTGAAGCACACAAAATGCTTGACTTAGTGTGGTGGATTTTGTTTGAAGAGGAGGGAATGTCTTATGTGTTCCTTAGTTCCTCTGTGAAGTTTCACTTGTTAAAAGAACAAACAAGGTTAGTTTATTAGTTAACCTAGTTAACAAACCCAGCTGAGCTTAAAATCTGGTTATTGTCTTTCATTGCATTATGTCCATGTTTCTTTTGTGTGTCTGTTCTTATATTATTTCTTGAAATCATGAGAGGGTGCAAGAGGTGCATTTGTTTTTGCTTTTGACACTTTTGTGATCTATTTGTTGTTTAGATGTTGCAAACTTAAAGTATAAACTAGATGGTTTTTTTTCTTAATTTAGTGGGCAACGGTTACGTTCCACCTTCCCCATCATGTTTTGAAGTCTGTCGCCAGTGCCATTGTAAATGAACTCAAGAAGATAAATCAAAATATTGCTGCCTTACCTGTAGCATCCTCTGTGATGGATAGGTTATCTTACCTCTTACCCAGCGCACGACCAGAACTTGGTGTGGGACCTGGTCGATCTGTGGACAGGTATATTAAGACAAAATAAATGATGAATTTCACCCCTTAGTTATATCAGAATAAGCTCTTAGATGGCTTGAAATTATTTGCCAAAGAAATTAGTCCTATTCTGTACTTTCTTGCTCTTATGCATACTGCTAATTAACTGTTTAATGCACAATGCACTGTACTTATTACTAAACTTAGAGAAACCTTTATGGGTGCCACAAGACTGTTTTGTTTAGATTCTGACTTGAATGCCAGGCAAATTGAATTCGCTTTGCTCTTAATCCCAACATAAACTTTCAGAAAAGTAATAATTGCAGCTCTAAATATAGGTCCGTAGGTGATACTGTAACATGTTAATGTGATGTGTTCACCTAGGCTTTACTCTTCATCATGTTTGATTATGGGTTTTGTCTGAACAGTCAGGTACATATGACTCGTTACTTAAGTTACTGCCTTTACTCAAACTAGTACTGAAACCTTACTGAGACTGCAGTGTTGAGATGTTCAGAAACTGCATAGCTTTAAAAGCATATGTATGCCTCTTGAATGCAAAGATAGAGCGTATGTACTAAGCTGCATCATGAAATCAATTCCTTTTCCTTCATACAAGAAGGAGTTTTGCGTTTTAGAAGTTTAGAAAGTTGTTACCTTTGCAGAGTATATATCATAGAATCATTGAATGGTTTGGGTTGGAAGGGACCGTAAAGATCATCTAGTTCCAACCCCCCTGCCATGGGCAGGGACACCTTCTACTAGACCGATATGCTACTTCTGAACTCTCTAGTCACCTGCTATGTGTTTGGGGTCAGAGAAAATTTTACCTCAGATTGTTGCTTCATCTCTTTCTGGTCCAAGTAATAACATGTACCCAAGTGAGTAACCTATTATTTTAACCTTCATAAGCCAAAACTAGTTAGAACACTGATAAATCTTCTAAGTCTATAAATTAATTCCTTCTTGAAAGTTTCTGTGCAAATACTATTTTGCAAGCATATTATACTTTCTTACAGCTCAAATAATTTAATAAAATTTATTTCATCTCTTACTTCCCCTCCCCAAGCCTCCAGGTCTATCTGTACCTCTCCATACTCTATTTCTGATTACAGTTCTCCGAGATCTGACTCTTAAGATAGTGTAATGTCAAGTTAAGATGGCCCTTATGTGGGTGTTGCAAGAATAGTTTACGTCCTTGCTAGGAAATGTTTAATATATCCATTCTCTTATACGACAGCAAAAATCTCCTGAAACCGAGGGACAGGAACAAGAAGTGAGGCAACTTTCCATCTAGTAGAACTAGTTCTTGGGATGATACTGAAGAACAAACTTCTGTCAAGGAAAAAGAAAAGCTGATAGTTGTTTCTTATGCACTATTTCAGATGAGGGACCTGCACTGAGTGAAGGTGGAAAAGAGAGGAGCTTCTTTTCTCTGTAGATGTTGAGTTGCAGAGGCGTTCATGTTTTGTGACTTAGTAGTTTATAGTTTTTAAGTATTGTAGTGTGCAGTGAATGACAAATGTTGGGGGATTTGTACCATGCATTCAGTTAACCTTAAAATATCACTTTGGAGTATTTCTAAATATGCGTATTTATATCTATTCAACTAATAACACCAAATTTTTGCACAAGTTGTCATGTTAAAAAAAACAATTCTCTAGCAGTTCTGTTGGGCTAGATTCTGCATCTTCCCTAAATGCAGAGTAGCTTTGGATATCTGATGCATTTCTGCAGTTAGACCAAATAGGCTATCTGGAAGCTTATTGTATTAATCTTGCTTTTAAGGCCTGTAGGTTGTTGTATTGCTTTTGATCTTTTGTTGAGAATGTACTTTTGGCACTCGAGAGAACTTTGTAACTTTTCTGTAATTGTTAATGATAAGTTTTAGATCATTATCTGTGGTATTTCTAACGGTTACTAAAACATAGAATAAAAAAAGTAAACTATTTATGAGATATTTTCAAAGTGGCAGTTTTGGGTAATGTAGAACTTTTCACCTTTCTAGGTCTTTGATGTATAGTGAAGCTAACAGACGGGAGACATTCACTTCGTGGCCTCATGTGGGTTATAGGTGGGCACAGCCAGATCCTATGGCTCAAGCTGGGTTCTATCACCAGGTAAAAGGTTTGATTGTTCTTAGTATTTGTTTCTTAGGTGAAGGTTTGGGGAGCAGGGGAAAAAGTCTTTATTTATTTTTATTGTATGGATTCTTCCAGTGATGCAAAAACCATAATAAAAAAGTTTGTCCTTCAGCTCTTTTTTTTAAGTTTCAGGGGTTTTTTCCATGCCTTGAGGTTGCTTCTTTTTTTGTCCAGATCACAGAAAATATTGTTCTGACCTTCAACATATGAAACACTTTTAAGTATCAAATTGGTCTGAGTTAAGCAACAATAACAAAGATGAAGTTGGTTGTTACATAGAGTCTCTCTTTATCCTTGTTAGGTTGTTGAGTAAATGTCTTTTTGTATTGTAAGTAAAGCAAAAAAAAGCACTAAGTTTGACATCAGAGTTTTCTAACTATGCTTTCCTAGTGGGACTTAAACAATATTGTAACAAACAATGGCCCTACATCACATTACTAAATTATTAAGCTTAGTGAATAAATACAACCTTGACACTTTATTCCACTACTTTTGCTTATTTCCATTTTTCATTCTTTGAAATTATTTCTACCGTAAAAAATTATTTATGGTATGGATGTAGATAACGATGGCTAGGCAGTGTGTATCATTTGACATCAATATTGTCTGCCTCATTTTGTCAACTGCAAAGCCTGATAGGCGCAAGTGGATAAAGTTTTTGGAGGATTTCTTAAGCTTGTTAAGAAAGGCAGGGAATTCGTATGTTAGAATTGCATCTGCATATTCCCAAGCATATCTCAGTGACTTGAAATGTGGTCATGAAAATGATCAATTTTAAGAGAATGGAAATTTCCATTCTTTTTCCTCTGTCACTCCAGCTAGTAACAACTGTTCTTTACAGAGGAGTGATACAGAATGCTTTATATTCCAGCAAATTGAGGGCATGATAGGAAATATTTGTTTAACCTGTCTTTTTCCAGACATGCGGATGTACAGTTACTCTGCTGAGGTTCTAAATTTTTTGAACCTTGTGAACTTTTTCCAGAGGAAAAAAAGCTTTAGCAGTGATGCTGACTTCTGTTCTGTTTTATGTCTATGTGGTTTTTATCCAGTGGCTTGCACAGGTGTTGCTTCTGAATCTCTTCTGTAGTAATGTGGTGTATCCTTTTTTTTTTTAATGTGAAATACTGCCACTTTATAGTATGTATTTTGTGGCGTTTTATAAGTTTGATGTGGTGCTTTGCTATGCCACTAGAGAAAGGAGAGGGCTTGATCACCTAGTTAAAGTGTTTTGTAGTACATAGCTATATAAATTTCAAGCATTTCTTCTTTTTGTTATAGCCTGCTTCATCAGGAGATGACAGAGCCATGTGCTTTACCTGTAGTGTGTGTTTGGTATGCTGGGAGCCTACAGATGAACCTTGGTAAGTTCAAAGATGTTTGGAGTAGACTTAATTTTGTGCTGAAGAGGTTAGAAATCTTTGGAGGACAAAGATCAACGTTACCTCGATGGGATTTCTGGTGAGTTTAGGGAGTGTCACTGACAAGAGTGGATTTCCAGAATGATTCCATGGAACAAACCACAAAATAATTCCCTGTACTGTGTCAAATTTCTATATAATACTAAACCCAAGAAACTGTAGTAGGTTTTATTTCTTAATTCTGATTTGCTATTTCATTTCAAATTGTTCCATGGAAAAGATGGCAGCCAACATGTCTTTGCAGGAATCTAAACTCAGTCTTCTGTATAATTGTGACTAGAACACATCTTTTTTTAAGTTCTTAAACTGCAATGGACCTGCAGTGCATATTTGCCTTTTATGTGAAGTTACAAGATCCATTCCTAGTTTCCTGAATCAGCTAAAATGTGCATAGTGACAGAAATGCAAGACCTTATATTGATTTTAAAAGTATTCTTAACATATTTAATCTGCACTTTTCTTCATGATGACATGATGGGCTGCTGTCTATAAAGCAATTATTTTTTTAAATGGACTAATTATATTAAGAGCACTGTGTGTAGATTCTTCCATTTGAATGTGAATATCCATTCAGTGATCAAAGGCTTTAATACAGTCTGCTATTGAGAAACAGCAGAGAAAGCTGCGTTAGTAACTTCAGAACTCTCTTGTATGGTTGACTGCAATACAGTTCAAACAGTTCAGTTTCAGCTTCACTTCAAGGGCTGCGTTTGTATATGATGTGTATATTTTTCACAGTAAGAAATCAATGTTTGCTATGTTTGTTTTTAATATGAAAAGGTCTGAACATGAGAGACATTCCCCAAACTGCCCATTTGTCAAGGGTGAGCACACTCAGAATGTACCTCTTTCAGTCACGCTGGCAACAAGTCCAGCACAATTTCCCTGCACAGATGGCACTGACAGAATAGCCTGCTTTGGATCTGGAAGTTGCCCTCATTTTCTAGCTGCTGCAACAAAACGAGGAAAGATCTGCATATGGGATGTTTCCAAACTTATGAAGGTATACAATATAAACAACCAGTTTTTATTAACTAATTACTGATTAAGCATATCTTGATTTAAATCAAAGGCCTCTTCTGTTTTTTCTTGTTATTTCTCAGGTCCACTTAAAATTTGAGATCAATGCATATGATCCGGCTATTGTGCAGCAACTTATGTTATCGGGAGAACAGAGCTCAGGGGTTGACTCAAGGAGACCAACGCTAGCATGGCTAGAGGATTCATCTAGCTGCTCAGATATACCAAAATTAGAAGGAGACAGGTATGCCAATCTACAAAATTAGAAATATGAAATGCTGCTGTGTTAGTGGTAAATGCCGTTTAGTTAAGTCATGCTTTGTGAAACATAAGATTGATAAGATTTATTTTTTTATTCAGATTTTTTTTAAATCCCTGTATATCTGTACACAATTCAAAACTTAAAAAACAATAATCTAAATTTCTGTCTTCAAAGTCAGTTCCATTTTATTCCTGCT